TTTGCACATGAGATGGGTCTCCTGAATACAGCACACTGATGGGTCTTGACTCTATTCAATTTGCCAGTTTGTGTCTTTTCATTGGGGCATTTATCCCGTTTACATTTAAGGTTAATGTTGTCATGTGTGAATTTGATCCTATCATTATGATGCTAGCTGGTTATTTTGCCCATTAGTTGATACAGTTTCTTCATAGCATCAATGGCCTTTACAATTTGGTATGTTTTTGCAGTGGCTGGTACTAGTTTTTCCTTTCCATATTTAGTGCTTCCTTTAGGAGCTCTTGTAAGGCAGGCCTGGTGGTGACAAAATCTCTCAGCATTTGCTTGTCTGTAAAGGATTTTATTTCTCCTTTGCTTATTAAGCTTAGTTTTGCTGGATATGAAATTCTGGGTTGAAAATTCTTTTCTTTAAGAATGTCAAATATTGGCCCCCACTCTCTTCTGGCTTGTAGGGTTTCTGCAGAGAGATCTGCTGTTAGTCTGATGGGTTTCACTTTGTCGGTAACCCGACCTTTCTCTCTGGCTGCTCTTAACATTTTTTCCTTCATTTAAACTTTGGTGAATCTGACAATTATGTGTCTCAGAGTTGCTCTTCTCAAGGAGTATCTTTGTGGCGTTCCCTATATTTCCTGAATTTTAATGTTGGCCTGCCTTGCTAGGTTGGGGAAGTTCTCCTGGATAATAGCCTGAAGGGTGTTTTCCAACTGATTCCATTCTCCCTGTCACTTTCAGGTACATCAATCAAACATAGATTTGGTCTTTTTACATAGTCCCATATTTCTTGGAGGCTTTGTTCGTTCCTTTTCATTATTTTTTCTCTAATCTTGTCTTGATGCTTTATTTCATTAAGTTGATCTTCAGTCTCTGATATCCTTTCTTCTGCTTGATTGATTTTGCTAGTGATACTTGTATATGCTTCATGAAGTTCTTGTGCTGTGTTTTTCAACTCCATCAGGTTGTTTATGTTCTTCTCTAAACTGGTTATTCTAGTTAGCAATTCATCTAACCCTTTTTCAAGGTTCTTAGCTTCCTTGCATTGGGTTAGAACATGCTCCTTTAGCTGGGAGGAGTTTGTTATTACCCACCTTCTGAAGCCTACTTGTGTCAACTTGTCAAACTCATTCTCCATCCAGCTTTGTTCCCTTTCTGGCGAGGAGTTATGATCCTCTGGAGGAGAAGAGGCATTCTGGTTTTTGTAATTTTCAGCCTTTTTGCGCTGTTTCTCCCCATCTTCATGGATTTATCTACCTTTGGTCTTTGATGTTGGGGACCTTCGGATGGGGTCTCTGAGTGGACACCCTTTTTGTTGATATTGATGCTATTCCTTTCTGTTTGTTAGTTTTCCTTCTGACAGTCACGCCCCTCTGCTTCAGGTCTACTGAAGTCTACTGGAGGTCCATTCCAGATGCTGTTTGCCTGGGTATCACCAGCAGAGGCTGCAGAACAGTAAAGATTGCTGCCTGTTCCTTCCTCTGGAAACTTCGTCCCAGACAGGCACCTGCCATATGCCAGCCAGAGCTCTCCTGTATGAGGTGTCTCCCAGTCAGGAGACACGGGGGTCAGGAACTCACTTGAGGAGGCAGTCTGTTCCCGAGCAGAGCTCAAATGCTGTGCTGGGAGATCCGCTGCTCTCTTCAGAGCCATCAGGCAAGGACCTTTAAGTCTGCTGAAGCTGTGTCCACAGCCGCCCTTTCCCCCAGGTGCTCTGTCTCAGGGAGAGGGTTTTTTTGTTTTTTGAGACGGAGTCTCGCTCTGTCACCCAGGCTGGAGTGCAGTGGCACTATCTCGGCTCACTGCAACCTCCATGTCCTGGGTTCAAGCAATTCTTCGGCCTCAGCCTCCCAAGTAGCTGGGATTACAGGCGCCCACCACCACGCCCGGGTAATTTTTGTATTTTTTAAGTAGTGATGGGGTTTCACCATGTCGATCAGCTGGTCTCGAACTCCTGACCTCAAGTGATCCACCCACCTCGGCCTCCCAAACTCCTGGGATTATAGGCATGAGACAGTGCGCCAGGCTGACTTAAGTGAAGAAAATCTGGCCTAACACAGATACATAGTTAGAAAAGAGAGTTCCTTAAGGAGCCCCTGAAAAGATCTCCAGGTACCCACAGGGCTTGGAACTATACTTTGATACACTGAGAAACTCTGCTTAGAATAAAACTAATTAATGTGTTTCAGAGACTCTTTTTGTTGTTACTGTTCTAAGTAGGATAAAAGTATGGTTTGAAACATAAATAGTAAATCAAAGTGGATATTATAGTATTTTATTAAATGGCATTTATATATGAAATATAGGCTGGGCGCGGTGGCTCACACCTGTAATCCCAGCATGTTGGGAGGCCAAGGTGTGCAGATCACGAAGTCAGGAGATTGAGACCCATCCTGGCCAACATGTTGAAACCCCATCTCTCCTAAAAATACAAAAATTAGCCAGGCAAGGTGGCGTTAGCCTGTAGTCTCAGCTACTCGGGAGGCTGAAGCAGGAGACTCACTTAAACCTGGTGGGGGCAGAAGTTGCAGTGAGCCAAGATGGTGCCACTGCACTCCAGCCTGGGTGACAGAGCGAGACTCCACCTAAAATAAATTAATAAATAAATACACACACACACATATTCAACATATCTTTGACTCTAGGTAAAGATGTATTGATTTATGCATCCAGAAATGTTTATGGTACTATATTTAGTCCCTTAGAAGCTGTGGCCCCTATGGTTCTAAGGATAGAATGTAGTGGGTAGAAACTTAGGGGATGTTAGTGATTATTATTATATTTAAAATGCCACAGGAGTGAAGCAATGATCTGATTCAAAGAGGGACTCTTTTATAAGGATTTTGAATGTATGATATTAGAAAATATTCCTCAGTCTAATCCTGATAATGGTAATCTCTTCCATTACCATGGTAACCCACTCATACCTGTGACAAATATTTTCTGAGTGCCTCTGTTGGGGAAACAGAATTAAAAACAAAATATTTTCCAAACCCAGAAAGCCTTTCCACAAAGGTAGTTGAGAAAGCGCTTTCATTTTTTGAATAAGCATTAAACCAGAATGTGATGTCCATCACAGGCAATCTGCTAAGAGATTGCAAGGACAAAGAAATCTCACCTTTTCATATAGCCAAGCAGATACAAAGCATTACATACACGGTCTCAAGAAAAACAATAACTAGTCTTCCAGTAAGAGGACTTAACAGTACCACTTGTCACACACAGTTCATCCTAGATTCACCTGATAAGGTGACTGTGTTAGCTGATTAGCTGTATTCAGAGGAAAAGCAAACTTCTCATATCTTTGACAGAAGGTGGTTTTGCAACATGCGCAAGAGGCCACTGAAGTTAAGCTCATACTTCAAGCTTAGAATTTAACAGGGGAAACTAACAATAGACAAGTAATTAATTACATGATGGTTTTAATAAGTGGTATGGAGAAGTACCAAGGATGCTAACAGCATCTAATAGGGAACCTAAAAGTAGACTGGGGCATCCAGAAAGGTTTCCCCAAGGAAGTTCCAACTGAATTGAGAGGTGAAGAATAAGTTATGGCCGAGTGCAGTGGCCCTGTAATTCCAGCACTTCAGGAGGCCGAGGTGGGAGGATCACTTGAGGTCAGGAGTTCGAGACCAGCCGGGCCAACATGGCGAAACCCCATCTCTACTAAAAATACAAAAATTAGCCGGGAGTGGTGGCAGACACCTGTAATCCCAGCTATTCAGGAGGCTGAGGCAGGAGAATCATTCGAACCCAGGAGGCAGAGGTTGCAGTGAGCCGAAATTGTGCCACTGCACTCCAGCCTGGGCAACAGAGTGAGACTCCATCTTAAAAAAAATAAAAAATAAAAAATAAAATAAAGACTTCTAAGAAGAGGGAACAGCAAGTGTGAAGTCCCTGAGCTAAAAGAGCTAGGTGTACTCGAAGAACTGATAGAAGGTGATAGAAGGGTAGGCCAGGTGCAGTGGCTCACGCCTATAATCCCCGCACTTTGGGAGGCTGAAGTGGGCAGATCACCTAAGGTCAGGAGTTCGAGTCCATCCTGGCTAACATGGTGAAACCCTGTCTCTACTAAAAAATACAAAAATCAGCTGGGTGTGGTGGCAGGCACCTTAGTCCCAGCTACTTGGGAGACAGAGGCAGGAGAATCATTCGGACCTGGGAGTCGGAGGTTGCAGTGAGCGAGATCGAGCCATTGCACTCAAGCCTGGGGGACAAGAGCGAGACTGCTCTCAAATACAAAAACAAACAAACAAAAAGGTGATAGAAGGGTAATGTAGCTGTAGCTGGAAGGAGGACCCAGCCAGGAATTGAAGCTGGAAAGGCAAGCTGGGGCTGGACCATGCTGAGTCTTCTTGCACAGCACTGTGATATTAATTATTATTATTATTATTATTATTATTGAGACGGAGTTTCATTCTTGTTGCCCAGTCTGGAGTACAACGGTGCCCTCTCGGTTCACTGTAACCTCCACCTCCGGGCTTCAAGAGTTTCTCCTCCCTCAGCCTCCCAAGTAACTGGGATTACAGGCACCGGCCACCCCGCCTGCGTAATTTTTTTGTGTTTTTAGTAGAGAAGGGGTTTCGCCATGTTGGCCAGACTGGTCTCGAACTCCTGACCTCAGGTGATCCTCCTGCCTCAGCCTCTCAAAGTGTTGGGATTACAGGCGTGAGCCACCGCGCCCAGCCAAGATTTGAAATTTGTATTCTACTAAGGACGACGGGAGCCAGCACAAGGTTTTCAAGTGACTTGATCAGATTCACAAGGTTGGTTCACAAGGAACTTCGATAATCGCAAAGTCTAGTGAGCATAACTGCACTGGGAGAAGGCACTGCTGCAAGAATCCTGTGAGCCAGACAGATGAGGGCACCAACCAGGGTGGGTGGCAGATAAGGTCTTAACAGCCTCAAAGTGATTTGCTTCCTTGTTGAAGGCTTTAATTAATCCTCTTAAGTAACTTTCAAGTTCTTGAGTTCAAGTAAACACACTGGTCCACTAGGGGAGGAGTGTCAGGCTATAAACATTTTAATAATTAAAAAAAAAAAAAGGCTTTAATTGTTCAAAGTATTCATTTTCTATGGAGTGCTCCCAACCAGAAGATGAAGGAAATGGAGATAATGAAGCACGCCCCTCTACCAAACACGGTAAATTCTAGAGGCACTGTGAGATCAGGAATTTAAGGTGTATTTTTGTCCCACCCTATTTTACAGGTGAGGTATCAAGTACGGTAACTCGTAATTTTCTTTTGGCCCAATCGAAAGGTATCATATAAAACAAAAGAAAGCTGTGTGTGCGTGAAAAGGATCCGCCTTCCTCTCTGAAGAAAAGGGTGACTACGGCTTCGGAAACGCTTTTCAACCCAACACTGCTGCCCGGCTGGCGGCGACGGCGGCGGCAGCAACGACAAATTCCTGCAGAGGCGGCGCCCGGCAGGGGCGGCGGGAGCTCGGGAGAGGCCGCCGGGAATCGGGCGGGGCCCCGCGTGAGAGCTGAGCGCCTGCCCTCGCGCCCGCAGGACAGCAGGGCCTGCATCGACTCTAAGGCGAGAGCAGAAACTTGCTAGTGGAGCAATTCTGGTGCCCCTGCCAGGGCTGTGAACCCTCTGAGATCATCCCTCAATCAAACGAATAGAAATTCTCGGGAAGAAAAAAAAAATTTGCAGTAATCCGGCTAAAATTCAGCAGCTTTCAGGGACCGATTCAGGGCATTATCCCTGTGGTTCCCTCGGCGAAAGGAGACTCGAAGCGCGACTGGAAGTCGCCGGCCCCACAGAGCTGCGGTGCTCAGGCCGTAGGCTGTGGCGCGGGCGGAGGCGGAGGCGGCGGCGGCGGCGGGAGGACTCGGCGCTGGGGGCGCTGAGCGGCAGCCTCGCTTCCGGAGCTCGGCGGGCGGTGTCAGCGGAACGGGCGGCTTCCGGTCGGGGCGTAAACAAGGCCGTGGCCTGCAGGAGGCGGGGCGGACTGGCTGCAAGAGGGAGCCGGCCAGACCCGGATCTCTTCCCCGCCGTGCTCCGGGTCCTGGGCCCGCGCCGCCGCCGCCTGGCTCCGCTCGCGGCCCCGCTGTCTGCAGGCGTGCCCCGGCGGCGGCGGAGAGCCGTCCTCGGCCGAGAAGGCTGGTAAACGCGAGCGCAGGCGGCAAAGAGGCCTTAACGCCGTCCCTTTCGCCGCCGCCTTCTTTTTGCCGCGCGCCACTGTGCATTTCTCTCCTTTTCCTTTGTTTCTTTGGCCCCTCGCGAGTGTGGGCATTCCTGGTGAGCAAAAGTGCAGCCTCAAGATGGCTGATGGCAACGAGGATATGCGGGCGGACGACTTGCCGGGGCCAGCCTTCGAGAGCTATGAGTCCATGGAGCTCGCCTGCCCCGCCGAGCGCAGCGGCCACGTAGCCGTCAGCGACGGGCGCCACATGTTCGTCTGGGGCGGCTACAAGGTCAGTGAGTGGCCGGGCCGCGGCAGACGTCGCTCGGCTGTGACTTGGGTCTGGGTTCGCGGCCAGGCGGGGAGGCCAGAGCGGCCCGCCAAGGGCGCTCCCCGCCTCCGTCGCGCGCCCGACCTCAGACTCTGCCCGTTGGTTGGTTTTTCTTGCGCGCGGGAATCTTCCTTCTCTCGAGTCCCCCAACCCGTCTCGAACCTCCAGGGCTGCTGGCACGTCAACCTGGTGCTCACAAAGCCAACTCACTCCCACCCCCGTTGTTGCCATTGGAGCATTATCCTGGGGAAGGCCCTGTTAATGTTGCTTGGGCGGTGCATTCGGAAGGGTTGGGGTGTGTAAGGTGACGGTGTGTGATATCACTTAGACGCGTTATCAGGACGGCCTACGAGGACTTTACCCTCTGGAGCTAGGAACCGCTGCCCACTTAACGGGGAGTCCGAGGTGTAGGAAAACTGGAATTCCAAAAGGTTACAGGAATCACCTTATTCAGCCTTCCCGCCTGTGCAAATGGCCATCATACTATTGTTTGAACCTCTCAGGACTATTTTCCTTCTGGCTTCAGCTGGGTGAAGTTTTTCAGCAGACACCCGTATTAAAGATAATGGAAAAGCGCCACCAGTAACCAAAAAATCCATAGCATCAAATGAACACAGAGTGCAGCTCTTTGACTCTCCGATCCCCTGGTTATAAACAACGTGATTAGTTAGCAGTTTAAAGCCAGTTGCCCTTCTTTACCCTGCTACCTCGGAAATCTAGAATTTTATTTGCTGGGATGGCTCTGATCCAGTCCTACCACAAAATTCCTCTTTGGTCTTGAAAATGTTCTCCGCCCTCCCTATGCCCATGCCTTGTGATTGCTTTTAGCTTATGGTACAGTTGATTTGATCATAGTTGACCATTTTTGAGACAGCTTTCAAAGATAGCTGTCCTGATACTTTAATTTGGTTTAACTGCAGAAGTAATTTTTTGCCAATCCTAATTAATCTGCAGTGTTTTTCCCAGTCTCCAGTGAATGTGGTTAGAAAATAGGGGGCTGGGCGCGGTGGCTCACGCCTGTAATCCTAGCACTTTGGGAGGCCAAGGTAGGTGGATCACCTGAAGTCAGGAGCTGGAGACCAGTCTGGCCAACATGGTGAAACTCCGTCTCTACTAAAAATACCAAAAAAATTAGCTGGGCGTGGTGACGGGCGCCCTAATCCTGGCTACTTGGGAGGCGGAGGTTGCAGTGAGCTGAGACGGCGCCATTGCACTCCAGCCTGGGCAACAAGAAGGAAACTGTCTCAAAAATACTTTAGAAAGGGGTAGGGAATTGCAAGAAGGGGGGCACACCCTTATAAAAATGTAAATTAATTCCCCTGGAGGAACCTGTCAATTACACTTCTGTCTAAGCTACCTAATTCATAATTGTATTTTTAAAATGACAGCATGAAAGAATGAGACTTTGGGAGTGGGGCAGGGGAGGATTCTCAATGTGGAGTATTTCTTGTGGTGGATTTAAAAAGGCCTGGATGATTGGGACTGATTCAGGGAGAAGCACACAATCACTGAATTGGATGGTTCTGAAACAGACTGCCCTCCCCATGTATGGCTGGTGGCTGGAACTCTGAGGGTAGGCACAGAAGCCCTTGGAGACTGTTTCAAAGGCAATAAACCTTGGCTTCCTACATAGTAGGCAGTTTTCCTCCCCAGGACAGGCTGGTCATCTCTGGGTCAGCCCACTTCCAGCCTTTCATCACCGGTGGGGTGGAAAAAGAAGTGTTTACATGGTCAACTGTTCTGTTTCTGTATGTTTAATATTCAAGCTTGCTGGACTTTGACACCCATTTTTGGCTAGCCGCAGTCGTGTACTGTATCAACATTGTTCAGAAAGTGGCTAGGGAGGGTCAAAGGCAGGGAATGTCAAGCAGTTGTTAAAGTTCAGGGAAAGGATAGAATCCTGGCGCCACCATTACTTCATAAATAACCTTGGGCAAATTACTTAAACTCTAAACTCATTTTCTTATAAAATCAGCTATTTTTTAGGGTTGTTGTAAGGATTACATAAAGCAATCCATGGATAGCTTTCAGCTGTGGCATATGGTAGGCTCAGTCTGTTAGGAATTAATACCTGAAGGGAAATGGAGCAGAACAAAGAACTTAAAATTCTGCATGAGGATTTAATATTTTGCATATTTGCAGTTCTGCCCTCTCTGTTGCTACTTAGAGAATGAATAAGTGAAAGGAAGGCGTGCCTAGAAAACCACGCATCGTGTTAGTGTGGATCAGTGTGGATCAGGCACTTTCAGTAACAGCCTGCTGACGATGGCACAGGTAGTCTCCCGAAGTCTTGCAGCTGAAATTTGGTGCATGGTTCTGTTCAGGATAAAGCTGCCTTAGAGAGTTCCCAGAGATCTCTTGGCTGGGCACAATGGCTCACAGCCTGTAATCCCAGCACTTTGGGAGGCTGAGGTGGGTGGATTGCTAGAGGTCAGGAGTTTGAGACCAGCCTGGCCAACATGGTGAAACCCTGTCTCTACTAAAAATACAAAAATTAGCCAGGTGTGATGGCAAGCTACTATCTGTAGTCCCAGCTACTCAGGAGCTGAGGCATGAGAATTGCTTGAACCCAGGAGGTGGACGTTGCAGTGAGCCAGCAGAGATCGCGCCACTGCACTCCATCCTGAGCGACAGAGACTTGGATTAAAAAAAAAAGAAAGTTCCCAGAGATCTCTTCTTGCCCTATTGTAACTGCTGTATCAAAATTCTGAATTAAGAGCTATCTATATTGAGCTTTACCTTGAGTGTGTGGCATGGGTTGGGGGGAGGATTGTGTACTATAATACCTATTTAACTTTTCATCAAATTAGTATCTCAAGATCGATTTAAAAAATACAGTAGTGCCTCTTTAAAATATCAGTTTTTATATTTATATATATTTTTTTATTTTTAGAGTAATCAAGTCAGAGGATTATATGACTTTTATCTGCCTAGAGAAGAACTATGGATCTACAACATGGAGACTGGAAGATGGTAAATGTAGATATTATAAGGGGGACTAAAAAATTCAGATAAGGGCTGGGCACGGTGGCTGGCTCACGCCTATAATCCCAGCACTTTGGGAGGCCGACGCGGGCGGATCACTTGAGGTCAGGAGTTCAACACCAGCCTGGGCAACATGGTGAAACCCCATCTCTACTAAAAATACAAAAATTAGCCAGGTGTGGTGGCGTGCACATGTAATTGCAGCTACTTGGGAGGCTGAGGTGGGAGAATTGCTTGAACCCGGGAGGCAGAGGTGGCAGTGAGCCGAGATTGCACCACTGCACTCCAGCCTGGGTAACAGAGCAAAACTGTCTCCAAAAACAAACAAACAAAAAAATCAGATGTGGCTGCAAAGAAAAAAATGTAAAACCCATTTTAAGCTATTTATATATTCTAAAAACAGTTCTGCTACTTTAGCTTAGCTGCTAAGCTTAATTTAGCACCTGTTCTGTAGTTACTAGATATTTCTGATAACTTAGAATAAATTTCTATCCCAAGTATCATAGTAATATTTAAAATAAATGTAGAGGCTTCAGATCTAGAATGGAAAGATAATGTTCCATTTTTTTCAAGATACTAAGTCTTCTATCTTGAATAAGGAAAGGATTTTAAATGGCTGTTAGATTTTAGATTGTATAGAATTTTATCTCCTAAAAATAAAGGTGGTATTCTATTTTAATGAGCTCTCAAAATGTGCATGCAAATCTTTTTTTTTTTTTTTTTTTGAGACAGAATCTAGTTCTGTCGCCCAGGTTGGAGTGCAGTGGCCGGATCTCAGCTCACTGCAAGCTCCGCCTCCCGGGTTTACACCATTCTCCTGCCTCAGCCTCCCAAGTAGCTGGGACTACAGGTGCCCGCCACCTCGCCCGGCTAGTGTTTTGTATTTTTTAGTAGAGACGGGGTTTCACCGTGTTAGCCAGGATGGTCTCGATCTCCTGACCTCGTGATCCGCCCCTCTTGGCCTCCCAAAGTGCTGGGATTACAGGCGTGAGCCACCGCGCTCGGCGCAAATCTTTTTAAAAATAGTGTTGTTCTGTTTAAAAACCAAAATGACCTCCAGTTTGCCCTTTTTGAAAACTGTAGATAATCTGAAATGATCTTTTGCCAGTTTCATAGTAGTAGTAGTCAAGAGCATGTCCCTGGTAGAATTTAGGTGTTTCTCAAAATGCTGGGTTAGCCATGGTTGGGGATTTACAAAGTAGTTTTCCCCATGGTGTGCTTTGTGAGAACTTTGTGCTTTAAATATTTTACTTACTGGTAGATCTCAAAATTACCATAGTAGTCCCACTTAAGAGGCGGGATGCTGTGGCTCATGCCTGTAATCCCAGCACTTTGGGAGGCTGAGGCAGGCAGATCACCTTAGGTCAGGAGTTCAAGACCAGCCTGGCCAACATGGTGAAACCCCATCTCTACAAAAATTAGCCAGGCATGATGCCAGGTGCCTGTAATCCCAGCTACTAGGGAGGCTGAGGCAGGAGAATCACCTGAACCCGGGAGGCAGAGGCTGCAGTGAGCCAAGATCATGCCATTGTACTCCAGCCTGGCTGATACAGTGAGACTCCATCTCAACAAACAAAAAAGTTTAAGATTTACAAACTAGGCCGGGCACGGTGGCTCATGCCTGTAATCCCAGCACTTTGGGAGGCTGAGGCAGGTGGATCATGAGGTCAGGAGATCAAGACAATCCTGGCGAACACTGAAACCCCGTCTCAACTAAAAATACGAAAAAATTAGCTGGGTGTGGTGGTGGGCGCCTGTAGTCCCAGCTACTCGGGAGGCTGAGGCAGGAGAATGGCATGAACCCAGGGGGTGGAACTTGCAGTGAGCAGAGATAGTGCCACTGCACCCCAGCCTGGGTGACAAAAAGACTCCATCTCAAAAAAAAAAAAAAAAAAAGTACAAACTAAAAATAAGTCATGAGTATTTCTGTATATAACAAATTGGTGTTAATATGAAGCTGTTTCTTAATCCTTTTCTAGAGAATTGGGAATTTATAATTCTCTTAAAAGCGAAATGCTACATATTTTAAAAAATAATTTTTAAGGCCAAGTGTGGTGGCTCACACCTGTAATCCTATCACTTTGGGAGGCTGAGGTGGGAGGATCACTTGAGCCCAGGAGTTCAAGACCAGCATGAGCAACACAGTGAGACCCTGTTTCTATTTAAAATTAATAACTTTTTTTTTTTTTTTTTTGAGAGGGAGTCTCGCTCTGTCGCCCAGGCTGGAGTGCAGTGGCGCAATCTCGGCTCACTTCAAGCTCCGCCTCCTGGGTTCACACCATTCTCCTGCCTCAGCTTCCCCAGTAGCTGGGACTACAGGCATGTGCCACAACGCCCGGCTAATTTTTTGTATTTTTAGTAGAGATGGGGTTTCACCATGTTAACCAGGATAGTCTCGGTTTCTTGACCTTGTGATCCACCTGCCTCGGCCTCCCAAAGTGCTGCGATAACAGGCGTGAGCCACCGTGCCCAGCCAAAAATAGTAACTTTTTAAAAAGTGAGCCTTCTAAAACGTTAAGTTTAGCAAAGATAAATATTATTATATCTGACAGTTTTAGCAGAAGACCTTGAGTATACTGTTAGAATTTTAAATATTAGATTCCTTAGGTTGATTCAGATCAGTTTTTAGATTCAGAATGAGTTAATACATACAAAGCACTCAGGAATGCCTGGCACATGGCACTACCTGTTTGTAGTGTTACATAAAGGACTGAATCTGATGCATATGAACAGCTAAAAGGTGACTGAAGAAAAAACACTGAACTAATCTATCAGGACTAATGTTGAGGTTTTCCTTCTGGTCTCCTGGCCCACTCAAAAACTAAACAACTTATGGCCATGTAAATAAATAGCAAACAATTTAGTCTGAGAAACATAAAATGGTATGCTCCTAGAATAGTAAAATATGACTTAGGCTTTCAGAATCTCTCATTATGCCTGTACAGTGGGGCCAGCTGGCACTGTCTGTGGAATAGGTAAAGAGGGAAAAACACATTCCTTGAACTAAGTTTAGACCTAGAAGAGACCCTAGAGGCACTGTCTACTCTGCCTTCTCGTTTTATTCCTTTATTGTGAGGATATAAGTAGAAGAAAAATAGACTTCTGCATTTTTTCCCTTTAACTTACATACATTTAATTTATTCCCCCTTAGGAAAAAAATCAACACTGAAGGTGATGTTCCTCCTTCTATGTCAGGAAGCTGTGCTGTGTGTGTAGACAGGGTGCTGTACTTGTTTGGAGGACACCATTCAAGAGGCAATACCAATAAGGTTAGTGTTTCTAAGGATTATGGCTGGAGGCATTTTTATTCTTACTATCTTTCAAACAACTGCAAATTTCTAAGGTTAGCCCAAGACTTATTTGTGTCCCAGTTAAAAATGATTTGTACTTGATTATGATATGAATGTGCATTTTAGTATTTTGTTTGTCAATCTATATTTACCTAGGCATTATGTAAAATCAGCTTTTGCTGGTAACTTGTGTGCAGTAACTTCCTGAGTGGTTTTTCTTTGTGCTTTTTGCAGCTACTTGTTCTCTTAGAACCCTTAAATGTTAGATGAACATTAGTAATAAAATTGCAGACAAAATAAAGACAAGATGTAATGGAGGGAAGGGTAAAAATGAGCAGGCCAACCAGTCAGAAAGCCATAAGGATAAATTAAAACTGACAAAACTACATGTTAACATTCCTATAAATGGTGCCAAAGATACTGCTGTTCAGACTTTGCCATATTTTGTTCCAAGTAGGAAAAAGACATCACTTCTTCTCTTTCAGACCAATAAGAGACAGATTAAGTCAATCAGAAATGATACATATGCCATGTATTAGTGCTTATTGAGTTGCCAAATAAATGAATCGATAGGAGTCTACTAAGTTGGCAACTTAGTAAGCACTTTATATGCTGAGCACTTGACTGGACACTGGAGACAGAAGAATGATACAGTTCTCACCTCTTGGAACTCATTCTAGAAGGGACACATATAGTAAGTAAATCACTGCAGTAGCATCTGCTAGAGAGATACACAGCACCTGGCATATAGAAAATAACTCAGTAAGTATTGTTGAATCTGAAAAAGTCTTTGACATTGTGTTTGGTGGGATGAGGGAACAGAACAAGAAAAATCTTGACCGAAGAGGTGATGCTTGAACTGAATAAAAAAACTGGAAGGAGTAGCCAAGATAAAGAGATATAAGCAAATGTCTTTTTCTGGGGTGGGGCGGGGTGGGGACAGAGTCTTGCTCTGTCGCCCAGGCTGGAATGCAGTGGCACAATCTTGGCTCACTGCAACCTCCGCCTCCCAGGTTCAAGTGATTCTCATACCTCAGCCTCCTGAGTAGCTGGGATTACCGGCATGCATCACCATGCCCGGCTAATTTTTTTGTATTGTTAGTAGAGACAGGGTTTCACCATGCTAGCCAGGCTGGTATTGAACTCCTGACCTCAGGTGATCCACCTGCTTCGGCCTCCCAAAGTGCTGGGATTACAGACGTGAGCCACCGTGCCCGACAGCAAATATCTTAATTATGGAAATTCCAAGTGGATGGAACATGTGGCTGAGATGGTTTCAAACTATGTTCCTAGAAACTTTAGGGATTTGAGATGCCTTGGGACACCTGTGGGAGGAGCATATGGTGTTAGGCAGGCTCCAAGCTGCCCCTTCCTCCTCCGTTTTAACATGTGTAGCTCCACTTTTGTTTGTATACATTGGGCTTTTGCTTTGTATTTTGCTTGAAGAAAGAGTTCTATGCCTGAAAGATTGTGAGGCACATCTATAGGCTATCATTGAGCCATATATATTTCAGAGCCAAGGGGGAGAACAATAACTGACACAACTTAAAAGCTTGGGACAAGCTGTGGTTTTATGGACAAGGTTTTATGGACAAGTAGACAAGCTGTGGTTTTATGGAGGTAGTTACAGAAACAATGGTAGTATGTCGAGTGGCTAGGGCTATGTGTTTTAAGTTTGACTCAGTGGAAGCTTGAGTGTCTCAGAGAAGAAATACATATATTGTGGTCCGATATATTCAGTTGCCTGGATGTGAACCCTTTAAAGGAAAGATCCTTAATTAAGTTAATTAAATTAATTTAAGCTAGTTAATTTAAGTATTGATCGTTAATCTCTTTAAAGATTAACTCAATTAACTATTTAATCTTAAAGAGGCACCGAGTACATATTTGTTAAATTGAATTTAAAGGTAAAATTACTAAACCTAATTTTTTTTGGGTAATACCATTCTGATACCCATAAATTAAATAACTACATTTCAGAGTCCCTATATCAGGGCCAGGTGTGGTGGCTTATGCTTACAATCCAGCACTTTGGGAGGCCCAAGTGGGCACATCACTTGAGGCCAGGAGTTTGAGACCAGCCTGGCCAACATGACAAAAACCTGTCTCTACTAAAAATACAAAAATTAGCTGGGCATGTTGGTGCATGCCTGTAATCCCAGCTACAGGAGGCAGAAATTGCAGTGAGCCGAGATCATGCCACTGCGCTCCAGCCTGGGTGACAGAGCGAGATTCTGTCCCCACCAAAAAAAATAATAATAAAATAAATATGGCTATCAGCACAGTTTTGCAATTGCAAAAATATGGAACCAGCCCAATGCCCACCAGTCAACAAGTGGATAAAGAAAATGTAGTGCATACATATACCAGGGAATACTACTCTGCCATAAAAAGGAACAAAATAATGGCATTTGCAGCAACCTAGATGGAAATGGAGACCGTTATTCTAAGTGAAGTAACTCAGGAATGGAAAACCAAACACCGTATGTTCTCAGTCGTAAGTGGGAGCTAAGCTATGAGGATGCAAAGGCATAAGAATGATACAATGGACTTTGGAGACTCAGAGGGAAAGGGTGATAGGTGGATGAGGGATGAAAGACTACACATTGGGTACAGTGTACACTGCTTGGGTGATGAGTGCACCAAAATCGCAGAAATCACCACGAAAGAACTTATCCATGTAACCAAACACCACCTGTTCCCCAAAAACCTATTGAGATAAAAAATAAAAAAATAAAAATGGGAAAAGAAAATATACGGCTGTCTTAGCCAGGTATGGTGGTCCATGCCTGTGGTCCATCTACTTGGGAAGCTAAGGTGGGAAGATAACTAAGCCCAGGAGTTGAGATTATAGTAATCTATGATTGTGCCACTGCATTCCAGCCTGGGCAAGAGAGACCCTGTCTCTTAAAAAAAAAATAAAGTGCGGCTATGAAAAAAAAAGTAGTCGAGCTAACTGTGTGCTTAGTGACTTAGGAGATTGGTATTCAGTCACAGAGTCCTAATCTAGACTCTGAGCAGTCTGGCAGCCAGTCTGCAGTCACAATTCCAGTAGCACTGAATTAGATGGTACTCTTATCATAAATCATAGTAAAATTAAATGCTAAACTTGAATTTCTTTCATATAACCAAATCTAACGGAAACCATTGCTTCTGACAGTTCTACATGCTGGATTCAAGGTCTACAGACAGAGTGTTACAGTGGGAAAGAATTGATTGCCAAGGAATTCCTCCATCATCAAAGGACAAACTTGGAGTCTGGGTATATAAAAACAAGTGAGTTGGCGGCATTACAGGTTTGGGTTTTTATGTGTAAAGTGCTTTACCATTCAAGTATCCTTAACCAGTGACCATTTGCACAGAACATACCTCATAGGGCCCATATGAAGATTAACTGAGTAAATACATGAAAGCATTTAACACAGCACTTAAGATAAAGTGCTTGTATCCTATCCTATGGGTATTTGAATTTTTAGTGTCTTGGTTTTTCATCAAACAGGTTAATATTTTTTGGAGGGTATGGATATTTGCCTGAAGATAAAGTATTGGGAACTTTTGAATTTGATGAAACATCTTTTTGGGTAAGTGAAGTTCTGTATTTGCATATGGCCTCCTTAGTATATTGAAATAATACATTTTATGTTTGCTAATAAGTTTTGTGCACTTTTCTTTGGTAATCAGGCAGGCCATCTAATTTTATAAATATAATTTGTAAAATAACTCAGATTCTTATTTTCTGTAGAATTCAAGTCATCCAAGAGGATGGAATGATCATGTACATATTTTAGATACTGAAACATTTACCTGGAGCCAGCCTATAACTACTGTGAGTTACTAAAGAATAAAACGGGGAGGGCTGGGGTGCGGAGGGAGGTATACCAGAGTTGGAAGATACTGTAAAAGTGACAGTTCATTCTTGTTTTCTGGGGATAAGATCCATAACTTTAATGATTTCCAAGGAATCTAGAACACAGAAGTTTAATGAATGTATGAAATGACTAACCCAGCATCTATTATTTAATACTATTTTTTTGAGACAGTTTTACACTGTTGCCTGGGCTGGAGTGCAGTGGCGGGATCTCCGCTCACTGCAACGTCTGCCTCCCAGGTTCAAGCGATTCTCCTGCCTCAGCTTCTTGAGTACCTGGGATTACAGGCGCCCGCCACCAGGCCCAGCTAATTTTTTTTTTTTTTTTTTTTTGAGACGGAGTCCTGCTCTGTCGCCCAGGCTGGAGTGCAGTGGCGCGATCTCCGCTCACTGCAAGCTCCGCCGCCTTCCGGGTTAACGCCATTCTCCTGCCTCAGCCTCCCAAGTAGCTGGGACTACAGGCGCCTGCCACCACGCCCGGCTAATTTTTTTGTGTTTTCAGTAGAGACGGGGTTTCACCGTGTTTGCCCGGATGGTCTCAATCTCCTGACCTCGTGATCCGCCTGCCTCGGCCTCCCAAAGTGCTGGGATTACAGGCGTGAACCACCGTACCTAACCTATCTAATACATTTTACATGATAGAAGTGTTTGATTTTTTTTCAGATTTTGGGATATTTGTATTATATACTTAACAGCTATCTCTAATCCAAAGATCCAAAATGCTCCAATGAGCATTTCCTTTCAGTATCATGTTGGCACTCAAATTTTCAGATTTTGGAGCATTTCAGATTTTGGATTTTCTGATTACAGATACTCAACCTGTAATTAAATAACTGCACTAGATAGGAACTTGTATTACTTAAATATTAGATTTCTTTTCCCTCTGACACAGATATTTATTTTCCCTCTGACACAGATATTATATAATATTCCAGCCTTTATTTTAAAAGAGAAAAAATAAAGCAGCCTGTTATGTTAGCCAGCCCATTCATTAGCACATCTCAAAAATAGAAAATTAAAATGCTAAGTTTTGGTAGTCAGCTTGTAGTACTGCTGTTGTCTGTAAGTCTACACTCCAACTTTTAAAAGCTCAAGTGCCTTACATATTCTTATCCCATATCCAGAGTAGACTCTGGTATTTTCCCTCTGTTTATAAAACGTTCACTTATGTACTGACTTGCTTATGTGACTCTAATAGGGTAAAACACCTTCACCTCGTGCTGCCCATGCCTGTGCAACTGTCGGAAATAGAGGCTTTGTGTTTGGAGGCAGATATCGAGTAAGTATTTAAACAACTTCAATGACTTGCTTTTGAATTCTTCAAAATGATAACTTAATTATCCTTTTCTAGGATGCTAGAATGAATGATCTTCACTATCTTAATCTGGATACATGGGAGTGGAATGAATTGTAGGTATCGCTTTAGATAAGTTTTTCCAAATTCAGATTGTTTTTACCCTATATTCCCTACTATTGATATATAATGTCCTTGCTTAACTTTTCTGTAACTATGAAATTAAATAAACATAATTACTAGGTCCTTAAGGAATGAATTTTAGTTTTCTGTTTCCAGTTCCCGTAACTGTGTGCCTAGTACATAGCATGTGCTCAGTGTTTGTTGAAAATAAAAGGTCTGAAGTAGATTCTATCTTCAAAGAAAATATTTCAGTATAAAGCATGTAGTTTATACCAAGAAGCCTTTTTAAACTTAAGGTCTCTTTTTCCATAACATGTACATATAAATTTTAAAAGAAAACTTAAAAATACAGTAGCTGCTTCTAAATGCAGATATTGTAACTTAGCTGTTATTTTCAGAATTCCACAAGGCATATGCCCAGTTGGCCGATCTTGGCACTCACTAACACCAGTTTCTTCAGATCATCTTTTTCTCTTTGGAGGATTTACCACTGATAAACAGCCACTAAGTAAGTCCTTGAAAAATATGATAACGAAATCATCATATATCATCTATATATAATAGCTGAAAATGAGTCTATTAGAGATTTACGAGAGGGCTTACAGGGTTGGTTGGAAGGTGTGAAATTAACTTTGATCCTGTAACATAGCTATAATTGTACTATATGGCATACTTCTGCTCAATAAAGAACCTGGAGCACTTAAGAGCCCTGCTGAAGGGCTATAACATGCAAAGGGCTTACTTGGTTAATTGCAGGGGAAAAAAAAGAAAAGAAAAGAAAATATACTCTCTGTATCTACTCATGATCTGATTTATTACCTTTTTACCAAAACTGTGCCCTTTAAATGTCAATGTCATATTGGTAGACTAATATACTTCATAGCTCTTTTTTCTTTGTTTTAATCAGGTGATGCCTGGACTTACTGCATCAGTAAAAATGAATGGATACAATTTAATCATCCATATACTGAAAAACCAAGGTATTTAAAGGCAATTCTTATACTGAATATGCACAAGATGTAAGAATTGAGGTTTTGGCTGCATTATATCCAGCATTCTTATTTATAAAAATCTTAGCATTCACTAAGGTTTGAAATACTTCTTAATGAAAAGAAAACCAATGTTATCCTAGTATTAAACGCTCTCCTTTCCATCATGTGTGTATGAAGAATAGGGGTGGAATTTTATTTTTGCTGCTTCCTTCCATTATAAAATTGACACAGTTAAAATATACAATCAAGCTTTTCACTTCAATGAGTTGAACTGCATCTAAGTTTATTAAAAATGAGGGTCAGCCAGGCGTGGTGGCTCACACGGGTAATCCCAGCACTTGGAGAGGCTGAGGCAGGCAGATCACCTGAGGTCAGGAGTTCCAGCCTGGCCAACATGGTGAAACCCCACCTCTACTAAAAATACAAAATTAGCTGGGCATGGTGGCACATGCCTGTAATCCCAACTACTTGAGAGGCTGAGGCAGGAGAATTGCCTGCACCAGGGAGGTAGAGGTTGCAGTGGGCTGAGATCGTGGCATTGCATTCCAGCTTGGGCAACAAGAGCAAAACTCTGTCTTCAAAAAAATAAAAAGGGTACGGAATGGGTAAAATTTTTAAACCTTAATCACATGGGAGGCCAGGTGCAGTGGGATTGCAGGATTGCAGCTGTAATCCCAGTACTTTTGGAGGCTGAGGCAGGCAGATTGCTTGAACCCAGGGGTTCAAGACCAGCTTGGGCAACATGGCAAAATCCCATCTCTATAAAAAATAGAAAAATTTAGCTAGGTGTGGTAGCATATGCCTATAGTCCCAGCTATTCAGGAGGTAGAGGATGCAGTGAGCTGAGATTGCACCACTGCACTCCAGCCTGGGTGACAGAGAAAGACTGTCTCAAAAAAAAAAACACTACATGGGGAAAAAACAAGAACTGTCCATTCGATTTACAGTAGCACTGTATAACAAAGATGAAGAAATCAAATCATCCAAAAAGAAGAGCTTATTAAACACCGATAATTTTCTCTTGTTAATCTCAAAACAAAATGCTAGAAGAAATGATACAGTCAGAATTAGTGTTCAAAGCCTGCATTTTTTCCCCAAGCCGCTAAACCAAGTATAGTCATGCCAGTAAGACTTCATTTGCACAAATGATCTCTCCATAACACTACCAGGCTTTCTGAGACTTTATAGTTTACTCAAGCAGGGCTTTCACCATCCCTCAGATGTTCTGCGTAAGGCCAGTTGGCCCTACCTACAGAAGAAGGCATATACCACTCAGCTCCCATACGACTTTTATTGCTAACAAAGACCTAGAGAACAGATCGTTCAGTTCAAACTCCTCATTGCATAAATGAGAACTGACCAGAGAGATAAAATAATATCCAGATAAAATATTGATTGATCTGCTTTTGCTACTTTCCCTTAAGATTTTACTTCTAAAACAAACAAACATAAGATTTTACTTCTCGCTATGATGTTTTGGTCTGAACTATGTTAAGATCTCTCGTCTTTATTTCATAGCTCAAATGACCAGCTGGCGTTCTGGGTGACTTCAAACTCAGGTTTTTGTTTTAAATGCAGGTTATGGCACACAGCTTGTGCCAGTGATGAAGGAGAAGTAATTGTTTTTGGTGGATGTGCCAACAACCTGCTTGTCCATCACAGAGCTGTAAGTATACTACCTTCATATTATTACTGAAACTTATTGCAAAAAAAAGCATTTGCTTTTAAATGTGTTCTTCCTATGTTTCAGGCACATAGTAATGAAATACTAATATTTTCAGTTCAACCAAAATCTCTTGTACGGTAAGTTAACTTTGTACTTGGCACTGAGATTATTTAAAATTGTTTCCTAAGACTTAGCACTCTCAAAAAACCAGGTTTATGGATTATTTAAGGGCAATAATAAAACTTCATTGCTATAACCAGTTCCTATGAAAATCTTTGAAGAAAGAGGGATGTTTTATGTAGTTTTTCAAGTGAATGTACTTCTAAACAGTAAAGTGAAATTACTTTTCTCTTTGCTTGTCCACTTTCAGGCTAAGCTTAGAAGCAGTCATTTGCTTTAAAGAAATGTTAGCCAACACATGGAACTGCCTTCCAAAACACTTACTTCACAGTGTTAATCAGAGGTTTGGTAGTAACAACACTTCTGGATCTTAACGCTTCATAAATAATGCCTATGATCACCTTGCATGGACAGCAATCCTGTAAACATCACAGAGTGGCATCATTTGTATAATTATATGCATTGTTGTAGTTTGCAGCTTTTGGTTTTAATGTGCATGTGAATGGCCTAGAGAACCTATTTTTGTGTCTATAAAGTTTACAATAAATGTATTTAACACCAGTAGCTGTCCTCTATTAAAGTAAAAAAAAAAGTAATGGTTGGGCTTTTTACCCTGGAGAATGGTTGTTACATTTCCTTTTCGGTAACTTCAGGATATATATCTGTAGAAACATTATACTAAATAGTCTTACTATCATCAAAATGCTGAAGTCATTTTTTAAAAACATTATAGATTTTTTTTTTTTAATGGCAAGAGTAGTCTATAATCATGTAACCTAGTGTTGTAAATACAACATAATAAAGGGTTTTTTTTTTTTTTAACATTAATATTCACATTATGACGAGGCTGGGAAAACAAAGTGTGGAGGGACCAACAACTATGTAGTACTTTGACCTTAACGCTCCAGCGCAGCAGCTGGAGCAGGTGGTCATGCTGAATACAGGCAGGTGTTGTCCAGTCAATTACAAAGGTTTTTTTTTAATTAATTAAAAAGTTTTGTAGCTCATGAAGGAATGGAAATAATGATGATTTCATTTTCCATTCTGTTAAGAGACAGGAAAAGTGGGTCAGAGTCTTTAGTGGTAAGCCTTAAAATGCACTTCTGGTATTATAGGTTAAGATACTCTGTAACGTGCTATATTGGTAATTAATTAGTAAAGGTGGAAATTAAAATGGTACAGAACTGAATGAGACTACAAGGAAAAAAATAAGATCAAACCTGAAGGTCTACAAATGAATAGAAATGATTAACACCAATTTCTTCTAGGACTTACTAAGCTGAGTCATGAGAATTATTACTTACATTTTACATTTTGGTCTAATATATTTTTTGACAAGTATAGATGAAAGCAGAAGAAAATCCACTCCAATACTTAGTTTTCAAGACACAATCCTAAATATACCCCTGTGGCTGGCCCGTAATATATATATTAGATGTTATATACAGTAGACTGACCAAGTCAGTAGTCTAAGCACTCAAGCCACTTCACTGTTCAGTTTCTTTACATCATGAAATGAATACTTGGTATTAACCTCCCAAATGTCAAGAAAATGTAGAATAATTACAGATGTATATAATTAGCATTTAACTATCCACAAATACTTTAGGAAATCCTATCATAGACAGTGTTTCCTCTATATAAAACTGGGAAAAAAACAAGAATTAAGTCCTTTTGGTGAATATAGCAAGGCAATGTTTAGTTCATTTTTATAATGCAGAAGTCCTGATACATGGTGTTTTCATCTTTGAACTTCCAAAAGGCTATAAAATTGGCTCTTCTCAAATATTTTAGAATTTCATTTCAGCTATTTCCTTTTTACATTCAGAAGATTGGGTGCAGACACTTTCACTTTGCCAGGAATGTTTCTTGATAAATCTGTGTCCTAAAAAAAGAAAATTGCTGAATATCTTCACATCCTATATAGTCAATCATGTTTCTTTTATGACAAAAAAGAAAAACATTTCCAAACTTTTAGCTGAAATGGTATTACTGCTTCTAATAAGACAGCATTTTCTACTAAAATAACAAAAAACTGCTAACATTTTAAATTGCACTGTCAGTCTCCACATTCCTTTTCTGAAGGAGAACTTTACCTTTACGCTGCGGAATAAGTCTTTTTCTCTTGCTGTTGCTTCTTTGGAATGCATGAAACTATTCAAGGCTGTTTTTGCAGCTGTAAATTAAAAAAAAGTAAGAATAATCTACTCCTGTTAAGTCACTGAACTGTTTAAAATCATAATTCAAAAAAACAAATTTAAATACCTTTTCCCTTTTTCTGCACTCCAGGAGTAAGTTTCACTTTATATCTTTAAAAAGGAATTACATGTGTTACTAAATAGACATTACAAAACAATTCACAAAAGCCATTCTGTCAACTAATGGTAACTTACTTGTAGTTTGTCATGGTGGTGTAAGGGGCACATATTGGAATGGCAAACAGTAGTACATCTTCAGGATGTGGCTGGCCTGTCAAAGAATCAAATAGGTTTTCCTAAAAAGGGAAAATAACAGTTACAAAAGCAATTTATACCACTCTTTAAAAAAAAAAAAATGCAAAAACACTTGAATTAATATCTCAACATATTTTTTATCTTTTTCTGATACATATACCATCTAAGCTGGAACAGTCGTGCTTAAACTCTGCTTCATAGTTCCAAAGAGTTGAAGACCAATGTTTAAATATATTCTTTACTACTTAATTTTTGCCTAGCATAATAAGTAACGAGAACAATAATTTTCAGAATACCACCTACAGTTCCATTTAAGAGAAAGAAGGCCCAGGAGCAGTGGCTCACACCTGTAATCCTAGGACTCTGGAAGACTGAGGCTGAGGCGGGTGGATCACTTGAGCCCAGGAGTTCAAGACCAGCCTGGGCAACATGGAGAAACCCCATCTCTAAAAAAATACAAAAATTAGCTGGGCATAGTGGTGGGTGCCTGTAGTCCCAGCTACTCGGGAGGCTGAGGGGGGCGGATCACCTGAGTCCAGGAAGTAGAGGTTGTGGAGAGCCATGATCCTATCACTGCACTGAGTGACACCAGCCTGGGTGACAGAGACCCTGTCTCAAAAAAGAAAAAACTATTGTATATTACCTGAGTTGCAGAAACCTGTTATGGATTTAAATGATGCAGTAATAACCACAAGTAGATTTAAGTCCCATCATATGGAAATGGGACTAATACCTTGGCTACACTACTATTTCTCGACCTGGGGAGATTCTGCCCTCAGAAGACAATGGGCAATGTCTGAAGATAGTTTTGGTTGACACGATGAGGGGTGAGAAGGAAGAGGTAGGGGCTGCTACTGGCATCTAGTGGGTAAAGGCCAAGGATGTCGCTAACCATTTTATAATGAATGGGACAGACCCCACAACAAAGAATTAACCAACCCCTAATGTTAATAGTGCCAAAGCTGAGAAACCCCAGGCTAGAACAGCCTTCTCTCTTCCCCATTATTAAGGAGAAATCCCAGAGCTTCTTAGAGTTCTTATTTGCTGTGCTACCTGTGAGATTGCCCCCATTTATTTAACAATATGAATAAACTTACAGATTTAGGACAGAATACTTGGTGCTGAAGTATAACTGACATTTGAGTGTCTGCTATGTGCCATAAACTTTTCTAAATACCCTTTACATATATTAGTTATCAAAACAACCCTCTCCTGGGTAGGGACATTATCCCCATTCTTCAGATAAGGAAACTGAGGCACAAAGAATAATGTTTCCAAGTTTGTACAGTTACATACAGCACAGGTGGGATTAAGACCCTGAAAGTTTGACTTCTTGACCTGCAGTCTTTTTTTTTTTTTTTTTTTTTTTGAGACGGAGTCTTTTTTTTTTTTTTTTTTTTGAGACGGAGTCTCGCTGTGTCGCCCAGGCTGGAGTGCAGTGGCGCGATCTCGGCTCACTGCAAGCTCCACCTCCCGGGTTCACACCATTCTCCTGCCTCAGCCTCCCGAGTAGCTGGGACTACAGGCGCTGCCACCACGTCCGGCTAGTTTTTTGTATTTTTAGTAGAGATGGGGTTTCACCATGTTAGCCAGGATGGTCTCAATTTCCTGACCTCGTGATCCACCCACCTCGGCCTCCCAAAGTGCTGGGATTACAGGCTTGAGCCACCGTGCCCGGCCAGACCTGCAGTCTTAAGTTTTTAAGTTTTAATAAGTTGTGTTTCAAACATTCTGGGAACTGAATTGTAATCACAGTGTTGCAGTAGGAACCCCAACATTAAATCATACCTCATTTCCCTGTTGATCCAGATCTTGCTCCTCCTGTTCCGAACATATAAAAATAAAAATGTCAGCTATAATGTAAAATGAAATTCCACACCATTAAACCATAAGGAGAAAGAAACAGTGATATAACCAGACTGTCATTTCTGACCCACAGGATCGGGGGCCTCAAGGTTACATTCTTCCTAAGACTCTGAAGTGTGTGAGAGAGAGAGAGAGAGAGAGAGAGAGAGAGAGAGAGAGAGAGTGTGTGTGTGTGTGTGTTAAGAAAGTAATGTCATTCAAGAGAAGAAGGGTAGTTCTCTGAGGCAGAGGAGGTGGGAACTGAAACTTTCATATAAAGTATATGTTAAAGCAGCAAAAGTTACAGGGAGAATTTAAAATGACAACTAAGGTTGATAAGTTTGCCAGGAGAAAAGCAAATGGAGAATTCTGGTAAACATCACTTTTATTTTTAAATATTTGTTCAACAGTTTTGGATAAATTTTTCCCATATCCCATAAAATATGCTTAATTTTGTTTGCTTACTTAAGAAAAATCTATCTGGAGATACCCGACTGTCTCAGTCTGTTCAGGCTGCTGTAACAGAATACCTTAGACTGTATAACTTATAAACAGAAATTTTACTTCTTACAGTTCTGGAGGCTGGGAAGTCCAGCATCAAGGCACCAGCAGATTCAATGTCTGATAAGGGCTTGCCTCAAAGATGGCACCTTAGGCTGGGTGTGGTGGCTCATACCTGTAATCCGAGTACTTTGAGAGCCTGAGGTTGGGGGATCCCTTAAGCCCAGGAGTTCAACACCAGCCTGGGCAACATAGGGAGACCTCATCTTAAAAAAAGATGGCACCTTATTGCAGTGTCCTCATATGGCAAAAGGGCACTCATTCATGACAGAAGAGCCCTCATGACTTCACTTCCTAAAGGCCCAACCTCTTAATACCATCACACTGGGAATTTAGGTTCCCATATACGAATTGTGGGGGGGTACTAACATTTAGACCACAGCACCTACTCATGAAAGAACATTAATAATTAACACCTCTAGTGAGCAGTTTTGAGTCTAGGATTTACAGAACACAAGAATAATGTACAAATTTTAAGAGCCAAAATGAGTTTTAGTATTACTAAACAACAACTATTCATCAGGGAAAAAAAGAAAATAGTAATACAGAATCCCTGTAAGCATTATCTGCACTAAACTGAGCACACAATTATAACTCAAGCTTTACATAAAAATGCTGGAGACAAAAGTAAAATTTTTTTATTTGGCCTCTGTTTTAAACCAAGTTATTAAAAAATAAACAGGCTGGGCATGTGGCTCATGC